TTTTCCTTCTTTGCCCTCATTTCTCCCCACCCCCATGAGACTTGAATGCCTTTGTCCAACATTTACTAAGTGCCTATGTTCAGTACATTAGGGTAAACAGTGGGCTTACCAAAATTGAGAAATACAGTGCCTTATGTTCTTTTCTGAGTAAGGTAAACACGGAGACACAACACAAAGATGTAACTATTTTCACACAGGTATAAACAAAGTGCTTTGGGGGAAACAAGTGCCTCACTTTCTTGCTTGGAAAGACCTGGGAAAACCTCCTTACGACCACGGAGATAAGGCAGAAGAAAACCTAAAGGAGATTCCTTGGCTCCTTCCCCATAAAGCCAGGTAACTATCTGCAATTATTTCCTGTATGATAAATTCCTTTATCATCTACATGTATCTATTTACAATCCTCAAAGTAAAAAAAAAAAAAAAATCCCCAAATAAAACAGTAATGAATTTGTTATTTTGGTTTTTTTTAAAATGTCTTTAAGTAGGGCGCCTGGGTGGCTCAGTCGTTAAGCGTCTGCCTTCTGCTCAGGTCATGATCCCAGGGTCCTGGGATCGAGTCCCACATCGGGCTCCCTGCTCGGCAGGAAGTCTGCTTCTCCCTCTCCCATTCCCCCTGCTTGTGTTCCTGCTCTCGCTATCTCTCTCTCTGTCAAATAAATAAATAAAAATCTTTAAAAAAAAATAAATAAAATGTCTTTAAGTATACATACAAATATTTGCAGGAAAAAAAAAAATAGGAGGATACAAACCAAAATGTTCACAATGATTATTTGGATGGTAGGATTAAGGATAACTTAGATATTTTCTTTTTCTTTTGTACTACCATTTTCACCAAGGTTTTCTAGAATAAGCATGAATTGGGGCACCTGGGTGGCTCAGTTGGTTAAGCAACTGCCTTCGGCTCAGGTCATGATCCCAGGGTCCTGAGATCGACCCCGCATTGGACTCCCTGCTCCGCAGGAAGCCTGCTTCTCCCTCTCCCACCCCACCTCCTTGTGTTCCCTCTCTCGCTGCCTCTCTCTCTCTGTCAATTAAATAAATAAAATCTTTAAAAAAAAAAAAAATAGAATAAGCATGAATTACTTTGTTGCCGAAAACAAAAAATTCCAAAAAAAAAAAAAAATCCAAAAAACCTAAATCTACCACATTTAAAACAAAAAAATTTTTTTTTTCTTAAGGTAGTACTTAGTGTTTTGTCAAGGGTGAAATAAACAGGCAGGGGATGCGAATTAAATTCACACAACCCTTCTGGTGGTCAATCTATCCATACATCATCCAAAGCCTTAAAACTGCAATTTTTGATTTAATAATTCCACTTCCAAGGAATTATTCCAAAATAAATACTCAGCAATACCAACAAAACTGTTCAAGGATGTATACACATATTTATAATAGCAAAACATTAAAATGAGCTTTACTTTCCAACAACTCATTCACTCACTGAACAAATATTTATTGAGTACCTACTATAATGCAGGCACTGGACATACAGCAGTGAACAAACTGTACAAAAATTGAGACCAAAGTACCTGCCCTCAGTGGAGCTCACAGTCTAGTGGGAGCTGGAGGATGGGATATAAATAATAGAGAGTAAGTGAGTAAAATAGTTGCCATATTCTACTTGGATATAGACCATTAAGAAAAAATTAAGCAGAGGAGAACAGGAAATAAGGAGAAGGTATTATATATAGAAAGCAGTAACATTTGGGCGCCTGGGTGGCTCAGTTGGTTGGGCGACTGCCTTCGGCTCAGGTCATGATCCTGGAGTCCCTGGATCGAGTCCCGCATCGGGCTCCCTGCTCAGC